GTTTACAACTTCACACAACTAGTATGTGGGCTGCTCAGATCACCAGATCCCTGACACTCCTGCCCAATGTTCACTTATGATCACAGTGCACTGTGGGCTGCTCTCACCTCTGACCCGGGTCTACGGTCTCTGGCAGAGCCCTCGGGAAAAGCCTGGCACTGCAGAAACAGCAGCACCTCCTTCTTCTCCCAGTCCTTCAAGAGGTGATGGAGTGTTTCTGACCTGCCTTTTGGGGCCTCACACACCCGAGTCAAAGGCACAGGCTTAATTACACACATGAGGAAAAGAACAGGTTCCGTGTTCAGAGGGGCCTGACGGACAGATACTTCAACCCTCAAGAGTACCCTTCACAGCCATCCGGTCTTCAGTATCTGCTGCTCTGTGCTTTGTTAAAAGCGAGCTTGAAGAGTTAGGAATGCTAAGGAGGGAGGTGGGAGGCGCCCCTAACGTGGGGACTGGAGAGCAGAGTGTTGACAAGTCAGGCCTGGCTGCCCTTGGGGTGACTCGTTCTATCCCTGAGCAACCCTGGCCTGAGGGAAAAGGGCTTGTGAGGAAGCCCACACCATAACACACGTCCCAAGGGTCAGCAGACCCTTTCCCAAAGATTCTTCCAGGAATTAGCCTGGCCTGATTCCAGAGTCTAAACAAGTAAGATTCTGGGAATGGCTCCAAGAAATCGGAAACCCCAAACTGTCATTCTGACGCTGCCTCCAGCTCCCTCATCTCCTGCTTCCTCGGTAAGACACTAATGGTGGGGATGATAAGCCTGACAAGTTAAGTGAGGGAATTAGGAAGGATGCTTGTAAACATCAGGTGCTTCATAAATGCAGTAGACAGGCATGAGCCTGACTGCGGTCCCTATTAGTCATGCAAAGCCAACTCCCAATCACTCCTCTTCCAGAAGCCAAAGGAAAAAACAGTAGGTGAATCCCCCAGAAGTCAAGGTGGTGAGAAGTGCACTGAAAACCAGCAGTTTTTCCTGGTCGCTGGATGTAAGGAGCCATGCGCCTCAATGATCTGCTGATACTCTCATTGTCCTTGTGAGGGAAGCAAGTGACGACAGTTTTACAGGAAGGAAATTTGAGAGGGGCAAAGAGACATGCCTGAGGTCAGACAGCAAAAGCAGAATGAGGAACAGAGCCAAGTTGTTTAGGTCTCAGAGTCTGGTGGCTGACTCAGCAATCAAACCAAACAGCTTTCTAATTTCTCTTCACTTGAATCTTCCTCATTAAGCACTTCCCCTTCTCTACCAGCAAGGATATCAAATGTAGAAGGAAAATGACGTAATCTTGTAAAGGTCGGGAGGAAAGGTTAGCATTATCCTGAGTCGTGCAAATGTAAGATATCGAAATCATCATCATCATCATCATCATCGCAATCATCATCATCATCGCTAGCACACCTGCAGGATGCTAAAGTTAAGAGCATCCACAAAAGCCTCTTAGAAATAATACATGAGGATAAATAGGACATATACTCAGCCCCAGGCAGTGGCCTGGATGCCAAGCGGGTAAATGGAGGATAATCCTGTTTAGAATCAGTGGAAGGAGCTGAAGGATCCAAGGAGAAGGAGCAGAGAACAAGATCTATTTCCTATCACCATCTTCCATGTAGTGAGCACCTGCCAAGAGCAAGGTACAGTCTCTGAAGAAAGAGAAGGGAAGGGCAGAGGAAGGCTGCTACTACTGCTCCAGAGGCTTGAACCCCAGCTTCAAGGCCGGCTCCTGACCATGACCATAGAGGCAAGGGAACCTGAGTGGACAGAAAGCAACTCAAACCTGTTATTGGATCCTTATCCCATTTCAGCCTTGCCCTACAGAGAGACAGTGTGGCAGGCAGGGGCCCATCATAGGCTGGGAGGAGTTGAGAGATGAGAACACCTTCTTCTTCATGGAAACTCACAGAAGCATTTTCAGAATAATCCTGCATGTATAATTCTTCCCTTTGCAGGGACCCAGGCTTCCCTTGTGCTCCCCCTGGATGGAGGAGTAAGAACTGGTTTCAACCTCTCACTCAATGGCAAGTGGCCATCATTCAGTTTACACCACCTGAGTTACACTACCACTTCCAAGAAAGATAGCTACAACCTAACAAAACGACAAAAAGTAGAAAATAAGCATAGGAAAAATCTCTGCCTCATACCACAGAGCACTGTCCATAGCCAGCATGGTTTAGATTACACTGTAGGCTGCACCCCACCAGAGGGCCATTTAGAGGGGCCAAGGGTTTATAGATGCATTAGTGGCTTAGGGACTGGGGCTATGGAGAGTCCAGGGGAAGGGCACAGAACAGACCATGTGTCCCTATCCCCACCAAGCACGAAGAGTCGTCGCTTGGTTTGCTGGAGATGCTGACCGGATTCCCAATTTTTCCCCTCCTAACCAAGGAGTGGGAGATGAGGGGCAAAAATAATCTCTTACACGTTGGCTTTGCTGAACAAATGGAAATAGAGAGGTGAGATGCAACAACAAAACCCCAGGCAATAAAATGAATAGTGCCTCCCTACCCAGACGAGGCGGGGCCCTTGAACCAAAGGCCAGCGGGCTCATAAAACAAGGAACAACTTGAAAATCACACCTTTTGTCATCCCCAGGGCAGGATGCCTATCATAGTTAGAAAGAGAGCAGTGACCAAATTCATCCCTCGTACCTGCTTCACCACTCTCCCCATTCTGGCATCCAGGCAGCAAGTGTAAGGAACCTGCAGGTCGGTCTCCAACATCTCCAGAGAAATAGTCCATGATAAAAGACAACGGAGCAACACTCAGAGAGTGTTGAGGGGAGAGGGCATGACCTAAGGACTCTACTCCAGACCAAGCTGTTATTCCCGCACAAAGACAACTGCTTACACTTGACACAGGAGGCCTCAGAGTAAGTGGAATAGCGAAGATACAAACGGGAAAGCTCCAGAAGAAGCTCAACATTCAAGTTAAGGAAACAAATTCCAGAAAAGTCAGGGTTGGCCACTGTTGTCCTTTTTACCTAGCCCAAAGTCCAGGGCCCAAAACTGGGGGCTCCCTGTGCACAGAGACAAGAGGCCTTAGTTGGTCTCCGGTGCTTGGGACTTGAAGGTTACTGTACATCAGTGGCTCACTAAGCAACTCACAAACATCATCGCCTCACCACATCCATTTACGGAAGGTACTACTAGTGGCTCCATTCTACTTCGAGAGCATCACAGAATAGATCGCAAGGATGAGAAGGAACATTTGCAGTTCCAACTCCCAGCATCCAGGACACCCCAACCACGACCCCATATTCTATTCCGGTGCAATGCAGAGATGCCTACCAACCAAATACATAACCCAAAGTCCACTAATCTTAGGGACTGGAGGAAAGGTCAAGGGAAGGGAATAGCACATAGAGATCAGACAATAAAAGGACAAATACAGGAACTTTGTCTCTGGCATCCCAAGAAACTATTCATGGGATGAGCACATGTGTGTATCAGAATCTGGTCTGACTATGTCTGGACCCCAGGTAAGAGATGGGTGCCATCAACAGGTGTTGGTTTCTTCCCTTCTTTGAGTTTTTCCAAAAAGAACAAGGACAAACAGACTCTAGTACCCTCTTTACTTCCACTCCACCATATTTTTCCTAACTCCCTTCGCTTCCCCAAGTTCTCATTGAGGCAACTCCCCTTACCACTGGTAAGCTTAAATTAATGGGGCACCTGGACGTGCATGTAGGTAGTGCCAAGTCCAGCAACTCTCATGCCCCACACAGGGGCACACTGCCTTCAGCCCTTCGGCTACCACGAAAGGGCTTAGGACACAGAAAAACTCATATCTCACACCAAAGAAGATTCTGACTCATGGGTATGGGGGAAGAACGTGGAAGAGGAGCAAAATCAATCGCAGAACATCCAATACTGGTATTTGGGAAGGCTGAACTCAGGGTTAACAGAGGGACCCCAGGACAGGCTCTGGGCATACCCAGAGGGCTGAGGAGAGGGAGCAGCAGACAGATTTGGCTGAGTGACACTGCAGGGTCACCCTAAAGGCGAGGAAGACTGTGGAGAGTGGGGGACATGCACGCACCCCTCCCTCCCCTACACAGCCAGAGCTGATAGCCACAGCCCCTCCAGCGAACATGGGTAAGAAGGCCCTGTAGGGCAAGAGACCCTCTGAAGTGGCCCTGTTCCCATCCTTTCCATCTTCAAAGTGCATTATCAGTGCAAGAAGTAGGACTGGATCTCAGGGGGTCCAACTCTGAGAAAGGGCTGTGCCAGCCAGCTCCCCCCATCTCCTCCTGCTTCCCCCTTGCCCACCCTGACCTTTTTCATGCTAAGACCAGAATTCTTGCTGGATCTCATAAGGGGCAGGCCTATGTGTGTTCAGTTCAGCTCTGCACAGTGGCACAGTGCTGTCCTGACTCTGGCCCTCTGCATCCAGGTCCAGAAGCGTCCGCTCGGTGGGGGGCAGTGGCCCCGCCTGGAATGGGAGCAGGGCTGGAAGTCCAGGCCGCTCCTCCACAGTGCTGCTGCTGCTAGCAAAGCAGGAGTCCAGGTTGCTGGGTGTCTCCGTGCTGGAGCTGTTGGCAGGGGAGGCGCTACGGGCATGGCTGGGGGACACAAACCACCAAGGGTCCAGTCGTTGTCGGTTGGCAGAAGGACGTGGCCGAGGCAGAAACTCCAGAGTCTTGGGTCTCTCCAAGGTAGAGTCCTGCTGTGTGTTCCAGCGCCTTGGGGTTGGGGGGAAGACCACATTGGGGTCAGGGAGACGGGGGAATTCACCTGGGTCTCGACTGGGGCTAGGGGTTTTCAACATTCCTGGTCAAAAGACAAAGGGAGAGGCATCAGACGATGGCACCTGGTTTCTGGGTGATATATATATGCTGCTCCCTCCCCACCTTGCCATGGCCCTACTCACTTAGGATAATATGAATGACAAATAATTAATGAGCACCTACTATGTCCTGTGTGTTAAGAGGCACTTGAAATGCAATAGTGAACTAGAAGGCCATGGTCGCTGTATCTGCTAATAATAATGGGACATATGGGGGTCTCGACTGAAATAAAATTATTTAGGGCAGATGTCGGCAAACTACAACCCACAGGCCAGCCTCCTGGATTTGTAAATAAAGTTAAAACTGAAACTCC